GCATCCCTTACACACAGCAACACACAATGCACCCCTTACACACACTCAATGCATCCCTTACAGACGCACACACTGCATCCCATACATACACAAACTCATCTTGCAGCCCCTACACATACAAACACAGATTCACACAATGCATTCCTTACACACATCAGGACATCCCCCACACACACACTCCACTCCCTGTGAACAAACTCATTGGTGAAACATGAAGGTGGACCCTGGGACCCAGACTTTGAGCTGTGTAAAGGGCCCTCAAAAAAATGGAGCTGCTTCCCTTTCTCCCAGAACATTGATTTTTGTGACCACAGTTACAAACCGCCTCCAGAGAGCCTGTTCTACACCAGACCAGTGGAGCCAGACGGCAGCTAGAGCCTATCATCATCCTCATCTGGTTGTAAGTAGGCAATCTAGTATATTATTCGTAGCACTAATCTCTAATTTACCTCACATTAAAGGGACACTACAGTCCCCAGAACCACTGCAGCTTAATGTAGTGGTTCTGGTGTCTAGCCTGTCCCTGCAGGCCTTTTAATGCAAACACCGCAGCACTGGTGTTAGTTAACATGGCAGATCATATGGGTGGGGCATTGTGATGTCACATGGGGGGGCGGAAAACTTTACTTTTGCCTAGGGTGGCAAAAATCCTTGCACCGGTCCTGCAGACACTGCATCCCTGTGGGCGGATTCGGGGGGGGCAGCACTTTGGGCGGACTCGGGTGCAGGCACCGGGGGGCCCAGACCTTGAGCTGTGTCAGGGGCCCCAACATTTCTGATGGCAGCCCTGCATGGTGAGAACAATGGATGAAGCACATGGTGAGAACAATGGATGGTGGCCATTTTAACTCACAGACACTGTTTGGACTTTTCAACACGGGGCCATCTCACCAGTATTTGGTGCACAGAGACATCGTGCAGTGGTTTTGGACTATACAGATACGGATCTGGGTGAATTTTGGATATGTGGTTCACCCAGATCCCCCTGTTCCAAGGATATACTTATGGGGTTATTGCATGTTTTGGGGTCCCTGTGATGTGTTTTATGAAACTGTATTTCTCTGTCTGTGCTAATTAGATTACCCATTGTGTAAGGTAATTATATCACAGGCAGAGGGGAGGATTTTGTGTGGAAGTGTCTTTCTGTAATGTACGTGTGTTATTGGTTGTTCTGTAAAACCCTGTGGGCAGTGGATTGGGAATAAAAGAGGCTGTATGTGCCAGTCCAGTCAGTTCCTGCTTAACCTTCCAAGTGAAGTGTCGTCTCATTATTGGGGGATGATTTATTGTATGCTGTTCCAGTTTGACTGCTAGGAGTGTAAACTTATTCACATGGTTTTTCCTATTCGGCTGTATACAACATTCATATGCTTGAGAGCATTCATATGCTCCTACGGTTCGGTGGTTTTGGTGTCTGCTGCAGTGCTTGCAGTCCTCAGGAAGTGCTAGGACCATCCTTCAACGGAGGTACCCAGTCGGGGTGCCAGGTGATCCGTTACATTGGTGGCAGCGGTGGGATGGTGTCCTAGTGCGAGGAGAAGCAGCTTGGAGACACTGGTAACGTTTGGAGTTACAAATTGAGGGCAACGCATGTCCCAGTACAGCGACCCTAACAGCAACAGGATGGAACCAGCAGTTTTATGAGGGTGTCATGGATGAGCGAGATGCAGTCCGCAAAGCAATCTGGTACCAGGCACTGGATAATATACAGCACCAGCGGGGCGAGGGACTTCCCAGTGAGGAGCAGCGACAGCAGACACGAGTGGCACTGCGGATGCCCCTCCTGGGAGAGCAGCCCCTGGAGGAGTTGATAAAGGAACTGGAGTATCGGGTATGGCAGGAGCTGTGGCTGGAAGATGCCTACCAGACACTCTGGTGGTATGTAGCGCAGTATATACCCTGGACAGCCGAGCATGAAAAGCCAGAGGGAGAGGAGTTTGATGACCCTGATTTGTTATGGGAGTCTTTTTCAGAGCCTGATTTTGGGAGCTCTACACAAACCCGGTTCCGTGACATTTTTTAGTGGAGGGAGAGTATGTACGACTGGGATGACCCTCACGAGGTGGAGCAAGACCTGGCCCACCTAGCGACCCGAGAGATGGAGCTGGAGCAGGACTACCAACATCTGTTCCACTCCATTGAAAAGGCACGACAGAAAAGCAGAGCCACAGATCCAGTTCCAGACCCCTTCAGCTGGGAAGGTATTGTAGAGATTTACTGGGAGGAACCCCAGGCGGCAGGTGGAGATGGGACCGAGGTCTCTCCACCGGTCCTACAGGGATGCTGGGCAGTTGGCCCAGATCCCCAGCGGCAGTATGTATCCCAGGGAGCTGAAGGTGCCGTCCTTCCTCCCCAGCGGCAGTGTGTGTCCTTAGGAGAGGAGACA